GTACAATCAGAGCCTGTTCTAGGGGCTGATGCTGGGCCTCGCTGATGCTGGGCCTCACTAGGGTTTGCCTGCAGCTGCTCGCAGCTGCTGATACATGAAGAATGTCAAGGACGCTTCGGCCTTGTGTACCGTGGTGTGTCGAAAACAAGTTAAGAGGAATCAGAAATAGTAGCATGAGAAACTTAGTGTTATGAGAAGCTTGTGCTGTAAGCTAACTGCAAGTAGGTGGACCGTGCGAATACGACCTTTAGAGCTTAAGCCAATCAGCTAGTGATTAGTAGGCATAATAATTATCGTTGTCTGTATAAATATATGTACCCTGGACCAATAAGTGGATACGAGATATGATGCTCTATCACCCACATTGAATCCGTCTCAGCGTGTCATTCCTCTGCGGCTCCACAGTTTGGGGAGAAAGAAGCATCGGAAAACAGGGGAAAATGAGGATGAAAGGAGCTGGTCACGTGTGGCTGGTCAGTATACCGGTTTAGGTGTACCATGGAACTGATGACTTCAGTCTGTCCTGTCTTCTTACGAAACTACATTCTCCACAACTTTCTGGGGTGAGGACATCTCTGCTCTTGGTACAGATAGAGGTCCAAGGGCCCATCCCTGGATTGGAAAGCACGAGTCAAAGAGGCTCATGCACCTGGTGGGCCAGCAACTGGAGAGATCAGGCTGTGTGCGTGTCATGTTGGTGGGTATGTCAGCGGGTGGAAACACTAGTGCACATCAAACCAGATTAACCAGCAAGTAGGAGAGTCCTGGGAGCCAGGTATTTGGAGACCCTACATCTGGACTAGACCCTGGCGAGCCCAGAGGATCTATGAGTTGGTTGCTTGAGGGAGAAAGTGGCCCAAAGTGGTACCTGGAGAAAATATGGGGTCTTGCAGTCAGGTAATGATAAGGCCATAGGTCTGGATCTGGAGGGGAGGTTGCCCTTGGTGTGAGAGAGCAGCAGGAATGCATGGAGCTCTGCCTGGGGACTAACAGTGAGTTAGCTGAGAGCTGGTAGGCCAGGATCAGAGGGCAGAACAACATGGGCAGCACTGTGGGAGGATGGGTGGATTTCTGTTCCAGACCTCTTGATCAGGTAGATGAGGCCTTCTTCAGACAATTGGAAGGAGCTTCATGTCTGCAGGCCCTGGACCTCATGGCAGACTGAAACTGTCCCAGTTGCCTCTGCTGAAGAGGTGCAAGGCACCCAGGAGGATTTTGGAGCTCACTGGTGACATCTTCCTGACAAGGGTGACTGAGAAGCCAGTGAGGTGAGGGGCCCTGCAGCAGGACTTGATACTTGCAAACAAGGAAGAGCTGCTCAGGGCTGTAACAATCAAGGGTGAGAAAATTGAGTGTAGGATGCTGAGAGAAGGGAAGAAATCAAGGGGCAGGATGTCAGGAGAGCAGGCTTTGACCTTCTGAAAGACCTGCTTGGAATAATCCCATGGGATACAGCCCTGAAGAGGAAAGGGGTGCAGAAAGCTGTTTGATGGTTAATGATCTCCTCTGCACTCCAGAACAGTTCACACGGATGTGCTGGAAGTCAAGGAAAGGTGGCAGGAGGATGGCATAGATGAAAAATGAGATCCTGACAGAAAGCAAGCATTAAGAAGAGGAAGGACAGAGGAGGTGGAAGCTGACTGCATTCCAGGCTCAGCAGTTCTGTGATGCTGTGCTGGAGAGAGACATTTGTGTGTGCGTGTGCTTGTCTGTGCATGGAGGAACTGGGGGGATGAGGGAATCCTCGATCCAGGTCCCAGACAGCTGGAGGACCTCAAACCAGCTGCTGGAGAGGTCCTTATTGTTTCAGTCTCTATACAACTGCAACTCCTCAGGGTGTTATTAGGTGTGAGACACCACCACCATCAAGGTGAAATATCTGCACAGAGGCACTAACAGCTGACCAAAAGGAGCTTCAGCCCAAGGAAACCTGAGAAACTCTGGGATTCAGGCCAACAGAAACCTCTTGAAGTTTACAAGGAGAAGTGTCCAGTCCTGCATTAGGAGGAAGAATAATGTCCTCATTTATCAGGGCAGGCTTGGACCTGAGTAGCTGAGCAGGGACCCTGAGGAGAAGGGCCTGGGCACTACGAGGACACCATACAAGACAGCGGTGCATGCTGGCCACAAACAAGGCCACCTGCATACAGGTCTGCACTAGGATGAGCATGGCCACTCAGACCATCCTGAGACTGGATGAAGTGTGGTTTCAGAGATGATAGAGGTTTTTCTCTAAATTGAGAAACAACATGAGAAAGGAAGAATGGCACAACGTGAAGCTTTGGAAGTTGAGACTGGACATGAGGATTTTGTGTTACCTTTAGTTACATCAAGAGTGTCTCCAAGTGCAGTACAATAGGCCACCCAGGAAGAGTCTGGATTAGCCAAAGCTTTGCATTCCAACCAACAGCCCGTGAGGATGGAGAGAGATCAGTAAGGGTAGGAAGATGGTCAAGTGAGAGCAAGGCTGGTAAGCACGGTGGATGTCCGGAGCCTTCCAGAAAACAAGTGCAGGCGTAGGCCACCATAGGAAAGCCTGTGGTGGAGATGGCCAAGGGAGCTGACAAAGTTGAAAGCCGCCAGCAGAGCTGAGCTCTTTCTCCTGTTGGCTCTGGCTGTTGGCTGTGTCACCAAGGCCTACCAGGAGACACCTAATCCTTACAGCACTGGGGGCTCATGAACCCCTTGTCTCCACCCAAGAGCCTGGCAGGTGTCCAACCACAATCCTGCACTTGGCATTGCACATCCCCACAAAACACTGCCCTGAGAAGAGCTGTGAGTCTTCAATTACTTCAACACAGGTAAAGGAGATCCCTCGCTGTCACTGTCTGGAAGCCCTGCCTGTTACTAAGACAAGAAAAGTATTTTCCTGATAAAAGAAATTACACTGCTGAAAATAAGTTTCTCTCCCCACCTAAGGGGAATATCAGTGATTACTTCACTCTGCTTCAAAGTTGGTTCCCCTGGAGTCTCAGGGACACCTGGGGGGGGCCCAGAGGGGACAGAGAAAGTGCCGCCTTGGGCTGGTCCCCTGCTGCTGAGCTGGGCCGGGCTTCTGGGCTGGAGGGAGCTCCTGGCCAGTGAGCAGTGCTTGTGAGAGACAACTCTGCCCAGGAGCAGCTCCTCTGCAAACTGCAGCAGGGCTGGGGGCACTGCCTGCAGGCACCCAGGGCAGAGCAGCGAGGCAGGGAGAGGTTCCAGGCAGTGTGGAGTGGGAGGGTGCTGAGAGCTCACTGCCGGAGAAATCTTCACAGCCCTTGACTCGGTAAGTCTGTGGGTGCAGGGCAATGTACCTGAGAGTCCTGGAGGGTCTCTTAGAGCTGGTCCATCCCAGAGCAGATAGGATCTGGCAGGATGGCTCTTAGGGTTTCTTTTGTGTGAAGGACATGGTGCAGAGCAGGGCTTCCCTGCTGCACCCTCAGAGGGACAGGGCATCCCATCTCCCTTTTCCTGGGGCTGGCTGCAGGGGTGTGCAGCTGGGTGTGCAGGCAGGGGTGCCCAGGGCTGTCCTTCCCAGCAGGGTCCCTGCACCCCAGGGGGCTGTGTGCTGGGGCAGGGACTCTGCCACCTGCCAGGGTCAGCACTCAGCCTGCCCGGGAAGCTCCCCACGGTGCTGTGGGGAGAAGCTGTGGGGGGAAGGAGAGACACCCAGTAGAGCAGGGTCCTGCTGTTGAGAGAGATTGCTGTGTGGGTCAGGGCTGCTCACAGCTCCAGATCACCTTCAGCATATTACCTGGGGGATGTTTCAATGGGAAAGACAAGGCAGGGGCTACCTGAAGCAAAGGCACTTTCTAGACTCTATGATTTAATTTTCCACTTTGATGGTGAGGCAGAGAGATGGTAATGGAGTTTTCATTTTTGTATGAGACCAAGTCTCCTAAAGCATTGCACTGAGAGATCAACAGGTCAGCAAGGAACACACCCTTCCCCACCTTAAGCCTACAGATCAGCATCAAATTCACCCTTGGATTTGATCTTAGATGTTTTATAGGACCACCAAACACCAAGCTATCCTTAGACAATGCCATGCTGCCAGGAGGTGTCTGCAGGGCAGAGCTGAGCACTCAGTGAGTCGGATGGGGTCTGTGGGCACTGACAGGGAGGAGACATGGAGACAGAGAAGCAGCCCCTGGCAGTTACATCTCCAGGCAGCAGAGACATGGGCAAGGAGGGAGAGGGAGCTGTTCCCAGAAATGTTGAGGGAGGGGGGGATTCAGGCATCTCCCTGCCATCCCCTGCAGTGCAGAACCCTTCCCCACTCTCCTCATCTACCCAGCACATCTTCTGCCCCAAGGACACGTGTTCCCAGGCTGTGTCACCTCGATGGAATCCCGACCCTTGATGAGTTTAAAACCCCCAGTACCTGTCTCTCTCCCCTTGTTCTTCCTCCTTCAGCAGCAGCATTGGGGCATGTCTCTGCATTTCCCCTCCTGTCTGTGCTGCCCTTGTTCTTGCCCTCAGTCCCTCTGGGGAGGAGGGTTTCAGCTGCAGCTCAATGAAACATTGGGTCTTGCCCTGTAGATGTGTCCAGGGGAGCAAAGTGCCCCAGCCCACCCTAACCCGGAGGGCTCAGGGCAACACAGAGCTTGGGGCCGGAGAATGAGCTGGCTCTGTCTGCTCACTGCAGCTGTGGCACCGCCAACAGTCTCTCTGGGGTTGTCCTCCTGGAAGATGCTGAAGAGCCCTTCTGCATTATGAATGAATTAGAGCTGACATGAACTGTTGATTTCATACTTTTGCTGTCTCATACCCTCTGCTGTAGAGAAGGGCTGACTGCTCTGGAGCTGATGGGCCAAGGCTACTTGTCCTGGAAACTCACTCAGCCTGCACAGCCCAGACATCTAGCCTGAGAGACAAGCAAGGAGGGAGGTAATATGTGTTTGGGTAGGAACAAGGGACATAGCATTGACTAATGGATAGAGATTTGCTTAAAAAAGTTTGCCCTAAATTCTCAGTGTGCTTTTCCTCCCTGGACAGGTCCACTTGCCCTGAGGCAGCACATGTCCAACAGCAGCTCCATCACCCAGTTCCTCCTCCTGGCATTCACAGACACACGGGAGCTGCAGCTCCTGCACTTCTGGCTCTTCCTGGGCATCTACCTGGCTGCCCTCCTGGGAAACGGCCTCATCATCACAGCCATCGCCTGCGACCACCACCTCCACACCCCCATGTACTTCTTCCTCCTCAACCTTTCCCTCCTTGACCTGGGCTCCATCTCCACCACTCTCCCCAAATCCATGGCCAATTTCCTCTGGGACAACAGGACCATTTCCTATGCAGGATGTACTGCCCAGGTGTTTCTGTTTGCCTTCTTGATGTCAGCAGAATTTTCTCTTCTCACCATCATGGCCTATGACCGCTACGTTGCCATCTGCCAACCCCTGCACTACGGGACCCTCCTGGGCAGCAGAGCTTGCGTCCACATGGCAGCAGCTGCCTGGGGCACTGGGTTCCTCTATGCCGTGCTGCACACTGCCAATACATTCTCACTATCATTCTGCTACGGCAATGTCATTAACCAATTCTTCTGTGAAATCCCTCAGATCCTCAATCTCTCCTGCTCCAACTCCTTCCCCAGGGAAGTTGGTCTTCTTGTGGTTAGTGCTTGTTTAACAAGCGGGTGTTTTGTTTTCATCGCGGTGTCCTATGTGCAGATTTTCAGGGCTGTGCTAAGGATCCCCTCTGAGCAAGGACAACATAAAGCCTTCTCCACGTGCCTCCCTCACCTGGCTGTGGTCTCCCTGTTCCTCAGCACTGCCATGTTTGCTTACCTGAAGCCCCCATCCATCTCATCCCAATCACTGGATCTGATGATGGCTGTTCTCTACTCGGTGGTACCCCCAGTGTTAAACCCTCTCATCTACAGCATGAGGAACAAGGAGATCAAGGTTGCCATTAGGAAAGCGATTTCATGGATGTTTCTCAATACTGATAAACTTTCCTTCTCTCTGCACAAGTGACTCCGAGTCTATCCCATTCCAAGCCTGTGCATTTTTTAAAATTTTATCATTCTCATAATTTGATTTATCATTAATATTTTTGTTCTCATTCTCAATATCATAATGTTATCATTATAATTTTTGGTAATCTGTAGTTATTCTGTTCCTACACAAATGTTTAGATTCAGCTCACTTGTACTGAGACCTGATTCTGCTTTGTCTCCTGAAGCCTGTATAAAGTATGTCTATCACTGGGTAAGAGACGACTCTCTCATAGGATGTCTATAATAAAATGGGATCTCCCCAGTGCACTGCTGCAAGTTTGGGCTCTTCTTCCAAAGCTGGTGCCAGGAATAGGCATGAGCAACTGCTCGCACAGACGGCCTGTTCCTCCTGGATTCATAAGTCAAGAGCTCAGAGTCATGGTATGGCCTGTTAGAGACTGAGGATGCGATTTAAGACTAACCATTCAGTGTCTAGTGACATTGGAGATGGTGAATTGTCACTGAGTTCCATTCTCATGGCTGTACCAGATGTGACATGCAGATGATGTCCTTAAGGAGGGGAGCCTGGAGCTTCCTGAAGAGGACGGGGTATCTCCATGGACAGCAGGTGCCTGGGGCGGGCAGGGACTGGACCCTATAAATTGAGAGATCACCCAAGGCGGGGAGTCACTCAAAGGGAAAGTGCTAAATCCAGGTATCTTCAGGAAAACAAGGACTCTGCAATCCCAGAGGAGGCCATGGGGACACAACAGGCACAAGGAAAGGAGGATGCAGAGCGATTCATCTCACCCTCAGGCACAGCCAAACACCTCTGCTCCCCTTGGAAATGCACCATAGTCCCTCCCTTCAAGCACTGCCACCTCCACAGACCCTTTGGGAGGGGGTTTGCAGCAGTGATCCCTAAAGATCCTGGGACCATATGGAGAGCACAAGGAGGGGGCCAGGAGAGGTTGCCCAGAGCAGAGTAAGGATGGGGGGAGATCAGAAGGGAGGTGACCCGGGCTGGGCAACGGCCTGCAATGGAAAAATGCCAGCGTTCAGCTAATCCAAGGCAATGTCCAGACACTGGGTCTGTTGGTATCCTACAGCATGCTCATGGAGCAGAACTACAACTCCTTGCTATCCTGGTGCTCCAGCAGGCCGGGGAAGTGGCTGAGGAAGGAGTGGTGCCCCCAGGATTTTGGTGCTGTCGTCCTCCAGTGTGGAGCTGGCCACAACAGCCTGCCTGCGTGGCCCTGGAGAGTCGCAGTGAGGTCGTTCTTGGAGAGTAGTTTGTGATTATCATTCCTCTGAGTTGGTGTGATGAATGATCTGGTGATTGTGAGGGGGAGGAAAGGACACAAATCACAAGGACAAGAAGCAGTAGGGGAGATTACAAATGAGGTTAATTTAAAAAAAAAAAAAAAAAAAAAAACAGACCCACAATGACAGTGGGCCAGCACTGGGCCAGGGGACTGTGACTTTCAAAACTCTAATTTCTAATGAGGTTAAGGGGGAAAATACTATCATGATGCTTCAGGCGCTGAGCAGAGATACCCCTGCAGCCTGAGGTGAAAACCATGCTGAGGCTGGTTGTCCCCATGCAGCACATGGAGGTCCACGGTGGAGCAGGTGGATGCACCCTGAAGGATACTGCAGATCAGAGAAAGCCCATGCTGGAGCAGGCTCCTGGCAGGAGCTTTTTGACTATTTCTGGGCAATTTGAGCTATTCGTGTATTGCTGAGCAGCGCCTGCACAGCATCAAGGTTGTCCCTTTGTACCACTCTCTGCCCACAGTGAGCAGGGCTTGAGACGGGCAAGAAGTTGGGAGGGGACACAGCTGGGACAGCTGACCCCAACTGACCAAAGGGGTGTTCCTATCACATGGCAACATGTTCAGTATCTAAAGCTCAGGGAAAGGATGAGGAAGGAGGAGTTACTTGTGACTATGGTGTTTGTCTTCCTGAGTAACTGTTACATGTGCTGAGGCCCTGCTTTCCCGGAGATGGATAAACATTGCCGTTGGTTGGTTTTAAGCTCCTGGACAGCTTCCCAAACCTATAGTGCAAACATACGGCACTGCTGGACTGAAGGAAGCCTTTGCTCCCACACACAGAGATCCATCGACAAAGAACTCTTTGTTCCTTTCATATTTGGTTGGCTGACTTCAGGAATAGGTACCAACATACCCTTCGTTGGACTGAAACAGCCTTTTTTTTTCTGGGAAGCTGCCCTAAGGAACACCCTCATCCCAATTTCATTCCATGGTCCAAAACCACAGAGCAAAGTGCTGCAGTCAAAGTGGAAGGCTTGTGAGTGAGGGTGTGTCATGACTTAACCCTGGCAGGCAGCAAAGTTGCTGTTAGGGTTTGCTTGTTTAATGACAGGATGGGCAGTACAGAGGATCAAACAGGTCATGCAGATTGAGCTAGAAAATAGGTTCCGAAGGAAAAAAATGGTAAAAAACTCAGTTAGTGGGTGATTAAACAAAGCAAATGCCCTTGGGCAACTGATTGTTTAATGCAGTAGATTCCCCCTTTTCAGCCTGAGAAGTGTAAGTTAGTCATTTAAAACTGGAAAACATACAAGACAGGAAAAACGAAGCCTGTGCCATTTGAGTCCCGCTATGATTCACAGGATCTCCTGAGAGAAGCAGATGAGAACATAAAGAGCATACAAAAGGACATCCAGAAAGTGAAGGAGAAGGAAATTCCCAAATTAAAAGAACCCCCCTTCATCAGAAGAGAGGAAAATCTTAGGGCCCACAGACATAGTGTCTGGTTAAAAATTACACAGCTGGAGTTACAAGTTGGAAAAGTACAAGATTTAGAAACAGAAGTAAAGGTTTTAGGAAGTACATTAGAGAAATCTGGAACAGCAGCTCTGGTTCTAGCAGAGCCACGTAAAACCACTAACATAAGACCCGATGAAGGCAATGCAAACTCTGAAGTCTGGGAACTCCAGAGTAAGTTGTGGAGAAGGTCTGTAGGTTCTTCCGGGGAGGGCCAAGTTCCTGTGGGCTGGGGCCACAGATCCTGGCACCCTGACCAATGGATTGTTGGGGGAAGCATTGAAATGGCAATTGGAAACCCAAGAAACATGGTCCAATTATTAGTAGACACAGGGGACACGGGAGATGGAGATGCCAGTAAAGGGATGTGTTGGGCTGTTGAATGTGGCATCCAGTGTGGGGTGATGCAGGTGAAAAAGGCCCACCTGGGCGCTGATTATGGGGACATCTCTGTTACAGCCACGTGACCGACTGTGCTGGGCAGGAGGGCAGGCAAGGCTCACAGCCACCCTAGCCAGGTCTTGCTCTGAGCTTGGGGAAAAATCATTTCCTTATCTCCAGATTGACCATCTCCTGTTTCACCCAACACTCATTATCTTTCATCCTGCCAACAAACACCATGGTGCACAGCCTGGCTCTTTATTCTCCATAACCTACTCATAGGTTCTGGTAGGCTTTGCCACGCTGAACAAATCTAGCTCCTTCAGCCTCTGTTCAAAGGCGAAGTGCTCCAGCCCCCGACCACCTTGGGGGCCCTTTGTTAAAGCTCCTCCATCTTCCCAACATTTTACCTGTATTTGGGGCCCTAAAACTGGAGGTACACTTCTGGATAATCCCTTCCCTCAGTCTCCTGGCCATGTTCCTGCTCATACAGCCCAGGATGCTGTTGGCCTCTCTTGCTTCAGGGCACATGGCTGCCTCCTGTCCAGATCACTGAGCACCAAGCCCTTCTCCACAGGGCTGCTCCCCAGCCAGGCAGCCCCAGCCTGAGACATTGCCAGGGTAAGTCCCCTGCAGGGACAGAGGCTGTCACTTCTCCTTGTGGGAATTCATGAGGGTCCTGCCAATCCGTACCTGCCTCCTCCTCAAGCCCTCTCCCTGGGCACACAGGCCTGGAGACATCAGTGAAGACCCAGGCAAAGAAGATGTTGAGTCCCTCAGCCCCACCTGTGTCTGCTTTTATTAAATCACCCTCCCCACTCAGCAGCAGACCCATATTTTCCTTGTTCACCCTTGATCTTTAACAAGCAATAGTTAAACCTCACCAGGGTGTGCATGGAAATGGCCGATGAGAGAGTCTGGGGGTGACAAGTGCCCTGGGCCACCTTTCTGGTCTGTCCATGCCACCAAGGGCACAGAACAGTCTCCTCTGCCCTGAACTTGCATGTTTTCCATCCCTTCTATGAGACCAGTTTCTGCAGCAGAAACCCACTGGTGTGTGCCCTCACCCTCTGTGGTGATGAGCTCTACACTGAAGGTTTTCTCTCCTGGGCACATTCCAGCCAATCCCAGATGTGCCCAAGTTCTCCCACCTCCCCTGCCCTGCCTCCACCTCCCCTGCCCCCTGCCCAGGCCAGCCCAGTCTCCCCGGGCCCCATGGCAATGCCCATTGCAGGCTGCTGCAGACCCCTGGGCACTTGATCCAGAGCCCAAATCCCTTTGAAGGGCACATCAGCTGCTGGGGGCCAGCCCAAGAGATGGGGGACATCCATAGCACAGGCAAACAGAGGTCAGTGGCACCCTGTGTCCTCTGTTCTCCTCTCCAGGAGATCCTAAGAGGGCTGCAGCCCCTCCATACCAGCCCCTCTCCCCAGGCCAGCACAACAGCCCTGGCTCTGGGGGTGCTCAGGGCTGCTCCTCTTGCCCCAGGGACAGAGCAGTCTGCCCCGAGCTGGTGTAGCTGGAAAGGGGTTTTAATTTCCCACACGTTCTTGCTCTGCTGAGGATGGATCTTAGACAAGGATGTTACAGCAGGGTCATTTGTTTTGCTTAAATACAAAGAGATGCTGGCTCCTCAATTACCCAAAGTCTCTGGGTTGCATGAGACAGGTGGACACATCAGCAGGAGGGGGATGAGTAATGACATTTCCTTACAGACAATATCATCACAAAGGAAAAAGAAAAAAAAAAAAAAAAAAAAAAAAAAACAAAGAAAGACTTGGCCTGTCATAACACACAGAGGGATCCATTTACAGAGAAATTTGTCGGTCTGTGGCT